CTCCCGACCCACGGCCCCGCCGCTGGACCCGCCGGCCCCGATAGCCCTGAACGCGTCCGCCTCGCTCCGCGTAGGTCACGCAGGGCCTGATCGTGGTTACCTGCCCCGTTCAGTTCCCCTCTTGGAGCCCAGCCCGGCTGGCGCCGTTGTGGTGGGGGCTGCGGAGCGCTCCCGAAATGCCACCTCCGCAGTGTGTCTGTTGGCTCTGGTTAAGCCGCTGTCCTTGCAATTACGAGATGGTGTCGCTGGCCCACTTCCACCATACAGCGAGTCATGAAAGCGAAGCTGAACAGGTCCCGATGGAGCTTCTGCAGCCTGCTGGGAGAAATGAGGCTCCCACAGCAGCCCCAAGAACAGCAATGTGTTTGGGGTTTTTCCATCTAAACATCTGGAGAAGCCTGCTGGATCAGAAGGGGAGATGCTCCAATTCGGGACAAAAAAGGGGGCTGGAGTGTACTGGAACAAGAAGACTCTTCATACAGAATTTTGCATGGTGAGTAGAGAGTGACAAGTGTGGGCTCACACCTACACTACCTTTTCCTTCCGTAAGGTGATGCAGGACGTTGATGTAAGATTTTAGTGTCAGATGTCACAGATTATTAGGTACACAAGACAGATATGTAACAGATTACAGCATGGTAACTAGAAGATTGTGGTTCAAGGTGAAAAATAATGCAGTGCTGTGTCTAGGCACGGGTGATTTGCAGATAGCATCAGACTAGCACTGACTTCAGAACTCCAGGTTTTTACACTGCCTTCAAATAGAAGGGACAAGTTGAGAAAGAAGCTTCTGTAGCCTGGAAGCCTTTCCACTGCAGTCTGAGGGCCATTCCAATAACAGTTGCAAATAAGTATGATTTTATGGAATTAGTGGCCACAGAGCCCTTGCCAGGTTGGTGCTTAAGCATTAAGAGATGACAAAGGGTACAAGATATTTTTCCAGTTTCCGACATATTTTCAGTCAAGGATTCGCTATGCCTGCTCATTCTCTACTTGGATCTGTGCAAGCTTCCTGTACCCACAACATCTTTTGGCAAGTCCCACAGGTCTGTCATCTTGCTCCTGAGAATGTGGACTTCAGCTGTTTAAACAGCCTTCACTTGCCTTAGGCTTAGACCTAAAGAAAATTATTTCCATTCATTCCCTGCTGCTTCCAACCAAATGCTTTTGGAGACAGAGTAGCATTGCTTGGTAGCAAGACACACCAAGTCAGCAGGTAACTCCCCAACGACTTAGCAGCTAAATTAATGACCAAGGCAGAACTGGTATGCAAATGCCTGCTCATCTAATGGATTTTTCCCAAGTGTACAATGGTGTGATGTGGGACTAGAGGGATGCCAGCTGTGACTCACCATAACTGTTCCTCTAAAGGAACTGGCAACAGTTATGGAAAACTAGAAGCTAAAATTGCTAAAAACATTTAAATACCTGAATTAGTTTTGCAAATCCTGCCTAAATTATAAACAAAAGGCCATTTGGTCATTGTCATTAGCAGCAGATCAAGTCATCGTGAGTGCAGAATGAGACAAATCCCATTCTTAAGACAAGTTTTGATGCATTTCAACTAAAATTTCGATCATTCACATTTAACCACAGACAAGCGGAGGGCAAGAGGGAAAGCTGTGAGCAGAAAGACATATTAGCAGGACTTTGTGGCACTAACTTGAAAAATTTGGCTGTGAGGAAAAATCTAAGCTGGAGAATACTGGAATTGTCACGTTAAGATGCGTGAACCTGGGGCTCAGAGACTGAAAGGATGCTAGAAGCCTGGCCAAAAAAAACAGAGGGCCAGAGGGTTAGGGACACAGGCTGGAATAGATGCCTGCAAGAAGTATGTCAGAAATGACTGAGGGGACACTGAAGAGCTGAGGCCTGGAGCAGCAACAGGACATTGGGTAGAAATATGCTGCAAAGATTGTAGAAAGCACTGGGAACTCAATCGTGTGGAAGCTGGCTTTATTCTGACTGCAGTGCCGCAGAGCTACATTCCACACGCTGAAGCCACTGCTGTTCCCTAGCGGTGCTTTCCGGTGCGATTGAAGCGCTTGTACAAGTAGCGGATCCTCTTGTTGAGTTTGTGATAGTCCTCTACAAACATCCGATCGCCCACCATCTGCTTCTTGCGGATGCACCTCTGCAGCTCGTTCCCCCGCCAGCCTCGCAGCCAAACGGGCCCCATGATGAGATTCTTCGGGTGGATCTGGAAGCCGCCTGAGAACAGCAGAGCAGAGACAGATGAAGCCAGGCGCTGGAGAAGGCTGTTCCCAAATCCCGCCCGCCCTGTCGCTGCTGGCAGAGGCGCCAGCCCTCAGGTGAGAGAGCCCAGCCTCCCTGCCCTCCTGCCCCGGGGCCGCAGAGCGGGGG